TGTCCCATATATATATATTTTTTTGTAAAAATATATTTCTCTCTCTTTATATATGGTTATATATATCTAAACCTGTATTCAGTGTTGGCTGTATTTAATCAATGTCATAGTTGGCTTCTATGATTGTGTACATGCTGCTTTTGGCTGCAGTTTAATGATAGACTGTATTTAATGAGGTTTCCTTGTATACAAATGCAAGACAATGACCTTTTTTCCCCACACTGATTGTGGGGGGCAGACCTGTCTTATATTCAAGTATATACAGTATTGGGTGACAAAATAAGGATGATATTCATTCTTCTGCTTTTTCATTTCTTTAGCTCTTTAACTGACAGCTGATGAGTGATTATGCGTGTTGCATATAAGCATTAATTCAGTCAGTTTATATGTTATTGATACAGTTAGCAAAATGACCAATATTAAACAACATGCAACTGAGTAATAACAAATATATGCAACTGAATACATGAATTAAAATACCTGTAGAAGAAATTAAGCTTAAATAATCTATAAAAACACTGCTATACATTATTGATTTGTATTTACTGGAATGGTCCTTCATGTCTTAGAGTATTAAGGAACTCCATAGTAACTATTTCTTTACAAACCATCATGTCTTTTATCATAGTTAGTTTTGTAAATGAGTAATTTACAATCTGCAACTGATTTTCTTTCCTGCCTCGTTTTATTTCTGTGTTTAGGTAAGGCAAATAAAAAGGTTTGCTTCTAGTTGTATTAACTTTATATGCTAAAATGCAAGAGACAGTCTTTCTGTTTATGTCATCATTATAACTGTGCCCAGGAAGTTTTCTTCTAATTTGTCTTTTGTGACTTATGAATCTTAGCAGAAAGTTTCACTTCCCAAAAAATTGTCATGTGAGGGTGTGATTAAGCATTTTAATGCTTCATAATTTTATTAATTAACATATAAAACTATATTGAACTATATATATTAGTAAAACTAGTTATATTCCAACCTTGCATAATTGTCATCAACATTTACCATCTACTCACACGCCTTGTTCCATAATGATAATGGAGTTAGAAAAAGATAATTGATCAGTTTATAATAAATTAGTTGCAGAATTTTGCAAGACAGTTATATAAGTTGTTAAAAGGACATTTTTGATAGAGCATTAGCCTGGCCATTCAAGGCACAATACAGCCTCAAAACAATTAACTGTATTATTCAGTCCCTGTAGTTATCATTGTATGGCAGATTATTCTGAATCAGGAATCTGCTTTCTACTATTGACTTTTATTTTGGACTTTTAAAAAAGTAGTAGTGATGAGGGCCTAGATCAGCAGTTCTGAACCTTTTTCAGTCGATGTACCCCTGGGTCTCAGAGTGAGATTTTATGTACCCCCCTTTCAATGGGAAATTAATTTTTTAGGCCCTTCGACCTGTGTTAGACAATGTATGAAATATATCTCATGTATCCCCTGATGAGGCTTCACATACCCCCTGGGGGTACATGTACCCCCAGTTTAGAACCGTTGGCCTATAGCCTAAAAGGCATCTAAATTCTGAACACCCACTGATTTCACTAGGAGTTAAACACCTAAAATAGCTTTGAGGAGGAGGTCCTGAATGACAATCTGTTGCCTAGCTTACAGGCTTACCACTAGGAGACTTCAGGGCAGCTGTGGCTACTCCTTTTATTTGTAAAGGAAAGTGGAAATGATCCCTTCTTAGTGGGGTAGTTTTCTGTTGTCAGTGACCCTTTTATTTACACTATTAAGTCCTTGACAGAAACAGTTTGATTATTTTTCTTATTACTGCTCATAATTTTTTTTAAAAATGCCTTATCTTAATCCCCAAAGCGCTAATGGGTAGTTATTTACTTCTCATAGGAGTTCTCTGGAATCTCTCCTCTTGCGATGCACTGAAAATGCCAATCATCCAGGATGCCCTTGTAGTGTTGACCAATGCAGTGATCATCCCTCACTCTGGATGGGAAAACTCGCCACTTCAGGATGATCATAAAATACAGCTCCATTCATCACAGGTGCTGCGTAATGCCACTGGGTGCCTAAGGTAAGTTCTGGCAAAACATTTGTCTTGATTTGATCCTACTTCCATTGTCTTCCCCAACCCCATCTATACAAAACTTGGTTGGCATTTCAGCAAGGTGACTTTTCAAGTTCTAGCCTTTAAAATGTGAAAATCATTCAGAAACCAAGCATCAGGTCATTCGTGAACAATCTCTAAAAGTGTTGGGTTTTTTAAAATAGTTTTGACCAATCCCATAACTAAAACACATTACAGATGTTTTTTTTTTCTTCTTGTAAAATGTCCTATTTTTCCAATTGCTTAAATGATGTCAATGTGTTCTCATTATCACATCCAATTTAATTAGTGTACAAAGTAATGCATATGCCTAAACATAGGAATGTTATAATGCCTTATGGGTTCCAAATGCCATTGCTGTGGTGTGATAAATTTGTAAAGCATGTTTTTTCATGCTGGAGAGAGATGGAAAAAAAGAAATAGAGCAATAGAGGAACCCATGTAACATTATGCAACCCAAATATCTAAACTAATCTACTTGGTGCATCTTTTCCTAATTATGAATGTGGGTATAGTGACCAAAGGTAACAAAATTGAGAGGTATTTCTGTCCTGACAAATTGTTACCAAGTCTGTCAGTCTCCTAAATTCTATCTTCGGTTGTTGCAGTGTTTTGCTCTAACACTTTGGGCAGATTTCATAAACTCTTGTTGGTATCAGTTTCTCCCTCTATAGATGAGAATGCATTTATATACTTCACAAGTTTGTTATGAAAATTAATTGGTTTTGTGTTTTTGAGACACTTTGAAGAGACAACATGTTCTAAGATCAGTATTTGTTGTTGTTATTGTAATTGGCAGTGTGTCATGTCCAAAGAAGAAATTAATTGGATAGGTCTGAAGAGAGCTGGTCTGTGGTTAGGGATGCAGAGAAGAGGGGTAGGGGGAAATGCAGGCTTTTCCATGGTATTCTTTTCCCTTCTTCCTCAGTGAATTGTCATCTTTCTAAACAGCGTAAGTGGTTCTGGGAGAAAGTAAGAGCTGATAATTGACTGCTGCTAATATGTCATTGCAGGAAGACACAGTTGAAAAAGAAATATTTGAATATTACTAATGTACTGATCAGGTATGTGAGCTAAAAATGTTGGCATATTCATAGACACCTCTAAGCATTTTGGGATGCCTTAAAGGAAGCAAGTTTTTGTAGGTTAGCTGATTCTGATTCTGATTCTGAAAGCAGCTTGGTGTTCTAATTTTGACATATGGCATGTTTTGTTTATGGCACTAGGAAATCGCACCCCACTGGAAATATGTGAATCCTAGTATGAGAGAAATACCCTATAATACCCATGCTGGCTGGAGATTCTGGGACTGGATTCTGGGTACCAGCTGTGATCTGTAGCCACTTCCTGTAGGGACATGGATGGTAGCTCTGCTTGATATTCCTATGTCCCTACGACTCCCCCTTGGAATTCAGGATGGCCCTACAGGTACCCTGCCTCAACTTCCCTCTAAATATACACCCAGAGTCTTTAAAACAATATTTCTCCCCTCACTTGGCCTGGAGTTAATAATGTGTCCCCTAAAAGTTTCCCTTTTAAATATGAGGTTTCTTAATCCTTGCTTCTTGCATTTGTCTTCTAACCTTGGCCTCTGTATTCTGTGAGCTTTCCCCTCTAGTCTGGGGTTTTCACAGCACTTCTTCAGAGGTCTTTGTCTCCAGCCCTGGCCAATAGATTTCCTCAGGAAAGTTAGGGTGATCACCTATCTTTCCTTCCTAACAGTTCTCAGACAGTGTTTGCAACTTCCTTTTGATTAACTCCAAAGTATTCTAAATGCTCCCCTTCCATTCCCTCCCTCCTTCCCTGCATCCTGCAGCTCTACAATGCTCCTGGTCCTGGGCCCTTAAAGAAAAATGACCTGAGATTCCAGTTTCTTCTTCTTCCCAGGTATTGAGTGTTTCTCATGACCACCTTCTCTCTCAGGTATTTCTTCAGCATTCATTCATCACCCCTGGACTTATGTAAGAGGCTAACGGTCCTCAAAAATTACCTTTTCGTTTTTTTAAAACATCAGTATACCGTTATTCCTTTTGATTTTTTTTTGTATCAGCTAATAGGATGTAGGTTTGCCTTTTCCTCAGAGAAGTCTACATAGATGCTAATGTAGAAGCATGGTGCATTCAGAAAGGACGGATGCTGTCCAGAGCAGCAAGGACTTCCCCTTTTACATTTCATAACTGTTGCAGACCTGTTTTGCTGAAGGGCATTACATTTTATGTGACTAAAGAGAAAAGATCCCACTAGCCACTTAATGTATCTTAGAATGCTGGGTGCCTAGGAATTATTTGCACGTCTGCTGGTAAAGTCCTGATGAACATTTTATAAATGGGTAGTTTAAAATTAAAATTACAGATCTCTGTAAGTACATCTGAAAGTGCTGCTGGATTCATGCTTCCCAACCACCCCCTTCTCTCTCAGCATTGTGCAAGATAGCAGTGAGCAGGATGCAGGAGAATGTCTGGGAGAAAAATACCAGAAAGCTTTGGTCTTTACAAGAACTGACAATGTATAGAACCCCCTGGGGAGTTTAAAAGGTTTGTTGTACTGCCTTTTAAATGCTCCCACTCTACTCCAAAGGTCACCAGTGCTTCTTCCTATCTGTGACTAGATACACATACTCTCTGTATCCCGTGTGTCCTATGGAGCACATTTGAGATGACCTGTGAGTCTTTCTAGGAAGGGTAGATTGAATTCCTTAAAGGAAGGAGATATACTGCACTTCCAGGCTGAACCTGTTATTCTAATCATTTATGTCCATTTGATTACAAACATGGATCATTATGGAAAACATGCCATCTTTTTCTTTGGGATCATCAGCTTGTTATTAGAGAAGCCAATTTTCTACTTCCTTATCTTCAACTTTCCATTTTCCCCTTTGCTTTGAGTTCCTTGGTTTCCTTAATAGGACAATTCTGGCACCTTCCACCTGTTGCTATGAGTTGCATAAATATTTGCAATAAGGATGAATTGTATGTTAGGAAAATATTTTTATGTCCGTTTTCTTCTTTTTAAACAGTTGTTTTGAATATTTCCATGTAGACCCTTGATCACTGTGTGCTTACACTGTGGAAAGTTTAATGCTAGGTAATGTGCTATGCAAGTGTGGTGTAGTGTTTTTTGTTAATATTCTAGAGTGTTTGGGGCGGTTGCTTGCTTGTTTGTTTTGTGATGGACTGACATTTGAAAGACTTAAATAAATAGATATATAAAAAAAGCTATAATGAAATCATTGTCTAGATACTATACTTACTGGTAACCAGCCATGCGTATTGTAACAGTGGTTGCCAGATCTTTGAAGGGGGGGGGGGGGGGGGTTGTTTTGTTTTTCCATGCATCATATGAATAATTTCTCTTTATACTTTTCTTCCCCTTGCTTATTTTCCCATAAGGATTTCAACCAGGAAAGAGTTTTGATTTGATTTTCTTCTTTACGGAGGATGTAGTATTATCTTAGTAAAGAAAAGTCATGATACTCTTATACCCCTTATTTATGACTTAGTTTATAAGGGTGCCTATACACTTGCTCAATGGTAGGAGGGAGCATTTTAATTAAATTAGTTTCCAGAGAGCTGCTCTAATTAAAATGCTGCAGCATCACATGCATTAAGCCCCTGCACATTTAAAAATGGCTGTGGGACACTTTAACTAAAGCTCATTCAATGAGCTGTAGTTAAAGTGCTCCAGTGGCCATTTTTAAAACCACAGGGTGCATCTAGACGAGTGCGGTTGTGTGGTATGTGGCACTTCAAACATGCTTGCAGCACAACATATCGCACAGCGCAGTGTTCTCTGCCTTGCAAAGGCATGCTGTCCGAGCATGCACTGCTCCAATTTTTTTCCACGTGTTTTTGACCCCTGGGCTGCTCAGAGCCACACTGTGGTTGCCGGCCAGGCTCCGCCCAGCAGGATCACCATGGCTGCAGCTCCAGGAGGCTCTCAGGATGACAAGTATAGCTGCTGGGGCCAGCACAGTGCTGGCCCCAGTCTCTCCTGTGCCACCCAGGGCAACTTGCCATGCACTAAAGCGCATGTGGCACGGGTGTTCCCCAGGGACAAGAAGCAGTGGCACAAGGTGCACCGCCTCTACTTGTCCCCAGGGAACCTAACATCCACGCTCATGTGTACACGCCCACAGGGGCTTATATATGTGATGCTGCAGCAATGCTAGTGTTCCAATTAGAATGCAGAAGAGACTCAACTAATTAAATTAATTAGAACAAGGATCAATTAGGACGCATTCAAGCACATGTCTAGGCACCCTAGTGTTCTAGCCTGCCCTGCCTTCTGCCTTTCTTAAACTAACATAGGTAACTACCTCTCTTTGCTTATTTATTGGCAACTTATTAAGCATTTAAAAATTAATTCTGAGCCCAGTCCTGGAGCTGTCTCTCACACAAGTAGTTCACATAAGTCATTGTGGGCAACTTTACACATGCTCCAGGGGTGAGGGGTGGGGGCGCTTTAATTAGAGCAACTCCAAGAGCCATTCTAAATAAAGTACCCACAGTGTTTCATGTATTCAGTGTCCCATGCTTCAAAATAGTTGTGGGGGCACTTTAGCTAAAGCTCCATCACTGTTATTTTGAAGTGTAGAGGTGCTGAATATACGAGACACGGAGGCTGCTAGAGCGTGCTAATTAATTGATTAGCCGAGTCTCCGCATATCTACAGGTGCCCAGTGTGAACAAGAGCTTCAGAGTCAAGTCTTATTTCGGTAATACTGTTTTTATTACCCACTGTACTGAGAGGTGGGTCATTTACAATCTGTGCCACTGTATGCTTTTGTTACTTGGGGAAAAAATGCTGGTATTTCTCTTCTAGTCCCATGCTATTTCATTTCATATAACTTGGGTAGTTTTAAAATTGAGAGCATTAAAAGCTGGAAATGCCAAATTGCACGCCCATCACTCCCGATTCCAATAGAGGCATTCATCTTTCATAATAATGTAGACTCTCGGATATGACAT